TCTTTGTACCTAATGCATATAATTTTTATACACAATTTTTAACCACCAACTAAGTAAATTATTACTGGTTATTAATATACATTAATGTATTTTTTATCGTAACTTTTTATAAATGATTGTTTTGTTGATAACTGTACAATTTGCGCATAGACTATTTCCAACATTTGCATGAAATATTCCTATTATAATGAACTGTTAAAAAAATTGAATCTGTCAAGTGAAAAAAATCGAATTTACTTAAGCCTTGCACGCGATGTTATCTCCTTTAAATAGAATTAACTCCGACCTTACTTACTTGCCATTTATGGCTCAAACAGGAAATGTTATTGCTTACTTCAATCTACTAAAAGGTCACTTGATGTTAAAGAAAAATAATGTAGTTTCCATTTATAATATTGGTTCTAGTAGCTACGAATAAAATGCCAATTTAGTAGGATAAAAAAAGCTAGCAGTGCTGCATATTACCGTTTGAATTTATTTTAGATATGAAATGATATTTGTGGACATATAGCTGAGGAAAAAAAAACATGGAAGATATAACCAAAACAATTCCATCAAATTCTAGTCTGTTTAACGAAGTGGGAAAAACTCCTGAATTAGCAGAATTACTACTTACTACTTAATTTGGTAACAATTCGAATTAGTATAACTTCTGGCTAGAACAGCATGAAACAAACCATGTCAACATGTCAGTTCTCCGGGTTTCCTGGAAAAATCGTGTTTTCTTCTCCACATTTCCTGATTCCGTCGTTTTTTAGACATTAATTATTTTTTTGCTCCAGATGTGTCACGAAGTAGAGAAGTAGGTATTTTCTGAGTACGTCCTTTTTTTTGAGATCGATGATTTCATCGAAAACAATTTGACTCCCAGGTTTTCTGAGACCTTTTTTTTAGGCATCAATTTCTCCGGGTCTATCATGAAATAGATCTGGTAACCCTACGTGTAAGATCGTAATTAACAGATCCGTAATAGAAAATTTGGATAACAATTCGTTTTTTTATGTTTTAGCTAGTCAGGGGCTACGTGAATCTATCTTAAAATAAAGTGGTTGCAACCTCGGTTGCAACTGTGTAAAAACAGATGACAAATGAACTACCGTTGTCATCCAGCGTGAGGTGCGTAATTGGCGCTTTGAACAATAAGATAGTCTACTAATTGGAGTAGGCGTAGGTATCACAGGTTCGCCTAACGAAGCCAAATTTAAGTTAATTATTAGCCACCCAAGAAACACATTAACTATAAATAATTTAAATCCATAATAGGTATAAATGATTTAATTCAAAATTAAAATAAATGGCGTTAATAAAAGGAATTTTGCATGACATACTTACATAAGTTATAATAACCAATAAATCAAAAACTAAAGAGAGGTAAAATAGGAAGCATATACATAAGGTCCCCACGGAAAAAACAACCCTAAAATTAGTAATAGCTGTTATACATTGACAATTTATTGATCAATTAATTCATGAAGTCGCTTCATCAAGAAATTGGACAAATGTAAACCCAACAGATTTCCAGCCTCAGATCAGTAAAGAGGTTATGTTATTGGAATATGTAAATAATTGTGTGCCGTCGTACTAGTTTTGCATTGTTTTTACTGATTTGTTACTTACAAACACTAATATTTATATAATATGTGTCAAAACGGCACCGCTGTTGTATCACTACAATTATGAGTGGAAAGGTGACATTTTTGAAATTTATTTGCTTCTTTGATTCGTTGATAGAACTGATCCATGCGTCAAAAAAATTGACAAAGTCTGTTGCAGTGTAAAACCATACTGTTTACCAATAAATTCGTGAATTAATTCATGAAGAACTTCGTCAATTTATTCATCAATAAATTGTCAATGTTAAACAGCTATAATAAATAAATAAATAAATAAATACGACATCCGAGTCGTAGGTATTACATTACGTACCAGAGGGAGCAACAGATGATGTTACGAAATCGGGAAAATTAAATTTTCAGATGTACTTTATTTATTCTAATAATGAATTTATAAATCACAAATTTAGTATAAAATACAGAAAATTAAAATCTTTCTAAAATAAAAAATTAATATGCGTTGTATCCGAGGTTGTATCCCAAAATGATGGAACCAAATTTATATTGTTTTCCGGTTCAGATTTAAAAAAATCGCTGAAACAGTAGTAAATACAAATTGTCATTTTTATGCAGTATTTTCTATTTTTTTAAGCCATGCTTGACAGCCCTATAACATTACCGATATTTTTTTTATAGGACGCTCTATACAGGGTGATTCAGAACTTATCCAAAAAAAAATTTTGGATGTACAGGGGACCCTTACAAATACAATTTTGTAAAGAAAAAATCAAAAAGGGCGGTTCGAAAATGATTTAAAAATACACTTCTGCACGGCACTGGAAACTGGTCCACTATAAAACCTGACCTAGCACAATGCGACCGTCATGGCGGTGTGATAAAAACGGACAAAAACTTTCGCAAGGAAAGAAATATGTAAATAGAATTTTATCGCACCTATTTTATATCGGCAAATTCAAATACTTAATTAATTAATAAAATTAATTTGTGTTTTTAAATGATAAAATCATTTGACATACCCGATGCTGAAACAGCAATTGTTCAAAATTTTATCCACTGTGTAAACACATTTGGGTCCGTCTTATTCAGTTCCTACGAACTAACACAAATTCTGTCTTGTTTCACCATAACACAAATACTTCACCATAATACAATTGTTGTCTTGCTTCACCATAAATTAAAACGATATCCATCAACTCTGAATTGCTATACACGCAAGCCATTTTTGACACTAACTACTAAAAGACTGATGTAAATAACACAGATAACATGTAAAAACTACATAGAAAGAAAAACATACACAACGGCCGGAAAAAGTGAATGTTTTGGCTGGAATAGTAGGAAACCGCATACTGGGACCTTATTTCTTTGAGGGAAATTTGACAGGCGACATTTATTTGGATTTATTGCGTTTCCTAACCCTAATGAGCACGATATGCCTGCTGGTGATGTCTGGTTGCTACATTTTTTTACCTCGAAATCAGAAATTACCTTAATGAAGTTTTCCCAAATCGACTTTCCCCTTTGACTTAAACCCCACCAGATTTCTTTTATGGCGTTATCTAAAAACCAACGTATATGTAAACAGACACTATCGAAGGATTGGAAAATCGTATCAGAGAAGAAGTTCGAAAACATAACACCAAATTAGTGTTATTCAAAATGTAATGTTGCTGTAACAAAATAAAAAGTAGTACTAAATTATTGTTTTTTTTTCATTTTAGGAATTCTTCTAAATTTTGACAACTATGACAAAAAAGTAGGTATAACCTTATATCGTTGAATTCGTCTTTAGAAGGGCTATCTACTTATACTATAAAATATAGTCATATTCAAAAAAAAAAAGGTGGTAATGTTAAAGGTCTGTCAAACATGGCTCAAAAAAATAGAAAATATTGAAGAAAAGTGATAATTTCTATTACTAATTGACCTGTTTCAGTGATTTTTTTTAAATTTCAACTGGAAAAAAATATTAATCTTGTTGCATCATTTTGGGACACAGTGTATAAAATTAATTTAAAAAACTTGACATTAACTATTACATATCGCCCCCATTATCACCATAAAGGCATAGGTACTACTCATTCTTTAAAACTGTACAGTACACTGAGCAGTGAGCAGTACCCTATTTTAATATTTTAGAATTATGGCTAAGAAGCTATTGTGTAATTCAATGACAGGGGTGTATAATAGCCCGTCTAGTAGTTGTTTCCCACAATATCATTAATGAAAAAGATAATTTTCAAGTATGTACCAAAAAATATTTCCAATAAAATTGTCTGTTTGTAACTGGACATTTACAGTCTCTGTTCTCCAAAAGTTATCACCCGTTACCAATACAATCAGTTTGATGCACTTTTATCTAATTGTAAAATATATATTTTTAAAATATTAATAACTAATTTAAGTGGTGCTTTAAAAAATATATTTGTAGCAAAAAATAGTTTTCACAAGGGGGTTTCCATAGATTGCTGAAATTTGAGAGTTTTAACTTAATGCTACTCAGTCAAACTTTTAATAATAGAAATCAGTACCATTTAACGTAGATGTTTCTTTAAAAAAAATTAGAACGGTGTCCTGGTTTTTAATGTAATGATCACACACTACATATTAATGAAAAAAAAAAAAGAACCAACATTGATGAAATCTACCTGGGATCGCATTATTCGCATTTAAGGATCTGTTTTTTTATATGTAATTATTTTTAAGCTGAACACGGAAAACTTTTTTATTTTTCATAGTATGAATCTTATTAAAAAAATTGTACTTCTGTCCAAAAGTGGAAAAATTTAGTTTCAACGTAGGTATACAAAATTTTCTCTTTTAAGAAACTGTTAGAAATACCTAGGTATAATAGTTTATTTACTCTTAGAACATAATAATACCTAGTCAATTTTCATTTTCGCAAAAGACCAAAATTTCAGCTTAATAATTTTTTGTGAACACCCTGTTCATATTACTTAAATGTTAAGTGAAGTCAAATTAACCAATCTGTACACCGGTTTTTTTTTAACAATAGATACCTATCCGAAAGTTTAGTGTTTAGTGTGACGTTTTGATGTACTTTTGTCAGTAAAAGTACTTCCATTCAAAGCGTACTTAGAAAAATATAAAGTGAAAGTACCTATAATACCTATACCTATCTATTTCAATAATAAATTGGATATAATCTACATTAGATAGACCGTAGAATTCATGAGTACCTACCTAGTGATTATTTATATTTTTTAAAATGATGGGGAAATAATTTATTTAGCGAATATTATATGTAAATTCTACGTTCAACACATATTACAAGTTTGTAGTTGGCATGATATTTGCCAGTGTTTTATCTGAAATTTGAACCGACATTCTAGGAGTGCATATTACTCTACCTGCTGCAACTGCAACCTGTTGGGGCCGTGTTTACAACAAATAAAAGTTACTCACCGTTATAATTATCGTACGCCGTAGGAACATATTCACTAGGAAAACTATCATTACTATAAGACACTGCCAGAGAGGTTTTCCCAACCGCCTGGTCACCCACTATTACACATTTTATTTTGTTCTTCAGTCTTTCCTTCGTGTTTTTCGGTTTCTCCTTGGTTTTAACAGCCCCATTACTACTAATCACAGTCACAGGCCTGCTTTGCGTTAAAAGGGGTTGTTTCGTGTAAAGTAGGGCCGAGTTGCATTGTGGGGTCATTGTCGCGATTCTCGTTTGTTTAGTTTCGATGTTGCAACGTCGACGTTCAAATGTCCCTTTGTCCTATTAGGTAGATCGTTTCAGACATAGTAACACACAGCAGCAGTCGCAGTACTTGTACACTCCCACAAGACGTCCTTACTACAAAACTGACAACGAGAACTGAGTCACTTGTCACTTCGATTAGATGATCTCGTCGAAAAACCTGTAGAGTATAGAGAAACCGACGAGAGAAATAGAAAGATAATTAAGAGCGAGAAGAACATATGCCCATCTCATTTTTTCTTTTTAGAAGAGCACAGCTAAAAAAATACAGGTTATGCACTTTAAATGTTATTTATATCGTAAACAATCAACTTGCAACAATTACAAATTTAATTATTTTATCCTGATTTAAAATAATATGTATAAATGCAAATTGCAATACCTATTAGTTATATGGCAACCAAATATACTCCGGTGAAGGTCACCGAATGGGAATCAGTTGCCAGTGTCGGAGTTTTCTATTTTTTAAAGTAGTAGGTTTGGGCGTAAATGAAAATTCTAACGGTTTTACCTAAACCTAACCTCTAGGTTTGTGGTATTCTAATCGGTTGTGATTGTATTATACCGCATATCGCATTAAACATGAGACGGTTCTGTTTATTAGTCACAGAATTTAGTGACTCGACTCCAAGGATTTTATACAAGTACTTGTATAAAATCCTTGACTCTACTCTACTGTTTATGTATAAGTGGCGCCATCTTACGAGAATCCAAAGATTTTTCATTATTGTACCGTAGAATGGTAATGTCATTTCATTTACATTGTTCAGTATCAGTGACAGTAACAGTAGTGATGGGCATAATCGACTAATTTTTATAATCGAGTTATCGGTAATCGAGAACTTCTAATAATCGAGTGATCACTCGAGATACGAGATATTGGTCGTTTTCATCCCAGCGGCGCACAAATATGTTTGTATTAGTCATATATTACTTATAAGCGTAGCTAAAAAAAAAAAAAAAAGCTCATGCACTTCAAAACCTAACCACTTTTTCGTTTTATTCTAAAAAAAAAGGTTACGCAATCAGTGACTATTTGCAGTATGCACTAACATTTTGGGGAGCAACCGTAGGCTAATAATCACTCGAGTGGTGGGAGTAAACATCTCGAGATATCTCGAGTGATCTCAATAATCGAGTACCACTCGATTTTTCACTCGAAATCTCCCATCACTAAGTAACAGAATTCTTAGTAGTTTATATTATTATCAATATATTAGTGGCGTATAGTTAGTTGTCTACTAATCAGTTGCTGTAATTAAAAACAAAATGCAATGCAAGTAGTAAATCGATGAAATAAATAATTGTGCAGTTACATAAATGGAAGGTATAGAATTAATTAATAAATATAGATGCTCTAACTATAAAAGAATTAATTGGGTAAATTAGCACTATAAATTTGCAATTCTTCTATGATGAAGTTCAATGCACTTCATTCTTTTATAGAAATGTATTAGAATCCTAAGAATGTGGAAGGAGTGTATTTGCAAAACATCATTAATACAAGAAGTTTAACAGATTTGTGCCAGTACCATATACATAATTAATGTGGCTGTTTAAATTAATTTGATATCAAATAGGTTGTCTCCCGAAGAATTATTAAATTAGTTTAATATGCATTTTAATTATGCACATAGATTCTGTTTGGCTGCATACAGAAAGAAAACTAGCCTTTTGGTGGCAGCTGGTCTGTCAGTGTTAATACTGTTCGGACTGGAATACTCAAGATTAGAAGAAAACAAAATCAGTGAACTCATGAAAGAAGAAAGGGATGCTCAAGTAGTTGCAGATGCTTTAATGAAAAGTATCAATGTTAAGTTCATCGAGAGTGCCAAGCGTTTGAACAAGGAAGAAATATTTACTTCAAAAATTGCAACTGAGCTAGACGTGGAAGCACTAGCTAAGCTCGAGCAGCCTAGCAGAGACGAGATTGCAAAAAGAAAAGCCGACATGGCAGATAACCAATTTGAGATTTTGGAGACGGAGCAGCAGCTGGGAATTCCGTATGTTAATCTAGATCCGAAAAATCCATATGTTCCGAAGAAGCGAATCGTCCATTTAGATTTCAAGGGTGCACCTCCCATTTTGCCGTACTTTAAGAAATTATTTCCCTTGATCAAAGTAATAGGGGCAACAGGTGTACTTTTAGGTAAATATTTTATTTCAACCGTGAACATCAATATTCAAAAATGAAATTACACCTAATTTATAATTAATTCTCTTTTAGAATATGAAGACATGTTTCCGTTTAGTGGTACTTTAAGAAATATATCGGCTAAAAATGCCTTCAGTCCAAATGACATTAAAGAAATCCTTAAATTAGCAGAGGAATCAAATCTAGAGGTAATACCCTTAATACAAACCTTCGGTCATGTAGAATTCGCCCTGAAACACGCAGAATTTGCCTCATTACGTGAAGTACCGGGCAGTCCACAGGCCATTTGTCCTAGCAGGAGTGGATCTCTTAATTTCATACAAGAAATAATCAGTCAGGTAACCACCCCCCCCGCCCCATTTATTTCAACTAAATTATTATAAGTCATTCATTTACCTTTAAGGTTATGGATTTGCACCCCGAGGCTAAATACGTGCATATCGGTTGTGATGAAGTGTTCCAAATGGGCGAATGTGATATTTGCCGCTTAGAAATACATGAGAACCTGTTCCTCAAGCATGTGAAAAACGTAGCAGATATCGTTCACAGCAGGTACCCCCAGATCGGCGTTATAGTGTGGGATGATATGCTCCGTCACATATCCCAACAATCCATGCAAGAGATAAACCTCGGCAGCTTGGTTGAGCCCATGGTTTGGGTTTACGCCGAAGATATATATCATTTCGTCCAACCGTCTGTGTGGGACAAGTACGCGGCCGTGTTTGACAGTGCCTGGACAGCTTCGGCTTTTAAGGGGGCATTTGGGGAGACTTTGTACGTTCCGAATGCTAGACGCCACTTAGAGAACAATCTCCGATGGTTAGACGTCATGGCCACCCAAACGTTAGCTTTCAAGCGAGGCTTAATGGGCATAGTTGTGACGGGTTGGCAACGTTACGATCATTTCGCGGTACTCTGCGAGTTATTGCCTGCAGCTATTCCATCGCTGGCTCTAAATCTGGTAGCTGTCGCTCACGGTTACTTTAACTCGTCTCTGAAGGAGAAATTTCTCACGGCACTTAGTTGTCCGGTACAAAATACGGCGCACACTTCTCCCTTCATAAGCTTAGACATAGACCCGTTCTTGTGGGACAAACTGAACCGCTGCATGTTTCCCGGTAACTCATTTTTCAGATTGACGAACAGGCTGCAAAACATGGAGACGGAAGCGAGGGAGTACTTGGACCTGACCAAACGGCAGAAGGGGTGGATGACGGCATACAACTTGCGCCACAACTACAGTCTACCTCTGCGTGTTGAGGAGTTGACGACGGACTTGCCCCGTGTGTACCATGGAATGATAAATCTGGCCAGATCGGCAGTGGACGTTATGGTCGACATTTTCGACAATTATACGATATCCGAGTGGATCGAACAGAGAATATATCCGTACATACTCGAGTTGGAGCAATTACAAAATCAAAGCATTGCGTTAAAAAGTGTCAATCAATGGCCGGCTAGGCCACTGCCACCTTTAAAGGATCTACAAAGGCTGGGCGTCGCAGTTAATTAAGGATTAACCTAACTTTATTAAATAATAGCAAATTTATCATTTAGCGAACACGATACTCGTTTTGTTTTAACGTTAAGGCTGTTTCTAGAAAGACAGGGGTGTAGTTTGAAAGGGACTATAGATGGGTCGTTCCAAAAAGTAGTTTTAATTAAACACAGGTTATTTATTAGGACGACAACCACCAAAATTAGTATATCCTCAATTTTGACATTTTTTTTCATGTTGCTACAAGAATCATATGAATTTGATGGATTCATTAATTAACCAAATATTTACTTAAATTAAAAATTAATTAAAAAATATTTATCAAACCACCTCCAGGATATCCAGATCCAATATGTAGAAAAACCAAGTGTACGTGGGCAACCTCCTACTTTTCTGGCACTTTATGTCCATTTCTATATTTCCCTTACTGTTAAAGATAAACCCACCAAGCCTTTCTTCACTGTAATCATAAGAAACTATTCGATATGTGTAAAAATACACAGGTGTTCTATTTAAAAAAGACCTTCTTGGGCCCAGACACTTCTATAATTCTGTAATTCAAATCAATTTCACAATTTAAGCAACGGAAAATTAAAAGTAGTTAATTCATATAATTTTTATTCTTGTGCATTTTTTGATAGCTTGAAAGATTTATTTTGCAACATTGGAACGTATCTCCTATATTTCCATGCAAATGCCAGTCCATATTAGCGGTACATTTTCAGAACATATCCCTCGAGAATAAGGAGCTTTGACTGTACTTTACACTTAAATTTTTCCGCCCTCCCTGATATAGAAATCCAGAGCCGCCACTGATTAAAATACCCAGGAAATATAGGATGTCGCACGATTCCACCGGCAAAATTCATCAGATTATTTTCCGACAATAATTAAAAGAAATAATAATTTCTGAGATCTAAAATTTTATTATTATTTTCTATTCTATTCCCAATAATTTTAGATGATTCATTTAAACTCGATAGATTCAATACTTTTTTGAGAATCGACGAACTACCATTCAAAATAATTGATATTAGTCGTACAGTGCCCCTAAATTTTTTGTTATAAAGATACTGACTCTTCTTTCGTGATTAGATAACTTTTTTATTTTATCCTTTTTAACTTTTTGGCCTCGTAATTTTATTTTTGGGGTCTACTTGTTTAGATGTGACTTGATGGCATGTTAGCTAGCTTTAGGTAAAACTGCAATTTTGTGGGTTCATGTCTAATTATCTGACTGGCCAGCCATTTGTTCCAATGTATCTACCGAGGAACATGTAAAATAACTTGAAACTAAAAATAATAATAAATAAAACTTTGCGTCTCTAAAAAAATCGGCTAAAAGAAATTGCAAGAAAAAAAAAAATGTTTGGCTATAAATGGCCAAAATTCTATACGTTTAAAACAAAATATTTAGATAAATCTCCAGCACATTCGAATAATAATTTTTCAAGTAACCTATTCTATTAGCTTATAAGAATAATTCCACCGCTGAATAATTATTAAAATACTCTATAATCTAACACGAAACTGTCATTAATTTAACTTTGTTCGAAACTTTACCATCACAAATGTTTTCGCAATATGGGATAAGGTAAATGTGTGGGTGCCGTGCGCCACGAAAATGTAAAGAAAATGCAAAATACGTATATTTATATAGAAATAGAATATTTGGTATACTTATTGTTAACGGAAATTAAAAGTTTCATATTCAGTTTAGGAAAAATAAATATTATTTAAGGGATCGACGTCTTTTGCGATTCATGCACGACACGGTAAATAAAAACTTGCCGAGTAAAATTATGACGTGGCAAGTTTTTTCCATCATTCACATAAAAAGTAGATATATGTCTGTGACTTTATGTTAAATTTAGGGCAGACTCTTTCAGTGCTCTTATTTTAGTTGTCCTTTTTTGTAAATATATTTAAATCGGCAATTATTTATATGTAAAATTTTTGTGTGCCATCTATTATATTAAAAAAATATACTGCAAAGAAGTCTTTCCTTTTAATTAAAACTACGTCTTTGCGAGTGTCAATGTAATATAAGAGGTTTAATCAGAAACATACATAATACACTTCTGGGACATATTGTGATAAATACATGTTAGCTTTTTGGTTATTTTACGTCGGCCTATTTCTGCTACTATGGCTAAACGCCGACGCCAGGAGGCGAGTAACCTCCAACCTGGGAATTTTGCCGAATCCCCACTTTGTCGTGGGGTATGGAGCTTTTACTTGCCTAATACTGTTTAGACAAGGGTCCCAGGGATGGTATGTCTTCCTATACGAACCTCGTCTAAATTTGTATAGCTTCTGTGAATACGTCGACACGCATGCCACTAGAAGGTGGACGAGCATCGGCGAATGGTCGCCCATCCGATTACCAATTGTGATCAGTGTTGCTTGACTTTTCATGTCTATTACATGAATGCCAAGTCGCCTGTAAAATTTAATTCAAAATCCTGTTACTAGATGCTACAAAAATGCCTAAATTATAAATCGTTTAAATGAATGTCATGATAACTTGAATCAATTACTTAGTTTATGGAATGAGAATAACGCTATTGTATAAAATTAGTGAATAGTCCACGGACCCACGTACAAAGAAAAAAATGATCACCAGCAAGCTGTAACTTTGCGTGCGGCTTAAGTTTGACGGGTCTCCCAAGATTTGACTACTAGGAAAATTCAACAGTGGCAAGTTTTCCCGTGATTTTCAGGAAAACATGTCAATCTGGCATAGACATCGAATGTTATGACCAGCACTTTTTTTTTAAGTTTAAATGAAAGATATATTCTTTTTAAACTCCTCAAAAAATTTGTCCGACAAAAATGTTGGGTATTTTGAGTTTGTCCCCCATCCCAAATACGTCGATTTGGTGACATAATGGTTGGTAACAACCAGCAAGCTGATTATTCTGGGAGGGTTTGGTAATAAGATTTGAAATGAAAGTATCTTATTGTCCGACAAAATTCTTGATAAGTTTTTGCAGTCCGACGCCCTGAAGATGTCGACTTAACGACAACATGGTTGGTGATAACCAGCAATCTGGTTTTCAATAATAATATACTTGTCCACCTAAAAGATTGGAAAATTTGCCTTAAAAATGGGAAAAATAGCTATTTTTGTGGTAACTAATGTTCATTCCGCTATAAAATAATTAATTTTTTAATGAAAAAATAAAGAAGAATAAATAAGAAAATTATCTTGTTAACAGGAGCAACAGAAATTGAAATTCATAAATAATTATGTCTAACTAATTTAATTAATCTCCATCAAAATGATTTGTTTGTTCAAAAAACTTATATGTACTTCTTGTTTTACAAACAGTTTACACATAGGTTTGTTTCTGAAAAACCAATTAAACCAATTTTAAAAATATTATACATTTATCAACACATTTATTAAAAGATTTTCTTGTTATAAAGTATAAATCCTTAATGCGAAATGACTTTGCAGCATTTAAAACCTGCTGCCAAAGTTCTTAACAGGTGTTTATAGTTTCTCCATAAACAACTGATTTCATTTCATGCAACCCCAAAAAACGGAAGTCTCGGCATTCCATCTCGCATTTATGTATACGAGTATACAATTTAAATTAAGATGTAATTTTAGTTACGAATAATACTTAGTAATAGTACTAATATACAAATGACAACAATAAGACAAGTGGAATATTTTGTCAATTATTTTATTAATTATTAAAAGGTAGGTACTTCATTTTAATTTAATTCAACAGCATTGGAAGTTTCAAAGCCAAATATCTCGAAAAGGTGCGAGACAGCTAGTTTTATAAAGTGTAGCTTTTTTGTGTAAAAAAAGTTGGAAAATAAGAATTTGATATCAAAGATGAGATACCTTAAAGTATAGAAAAGTTGTGTCCTTTTTAACACATTCAATCTACTGCAGCTAGCGCCCTCTATGAACTTTGACCAAAATGTGAACATATTTCAATTTCTCTACTTAAAGAACTCCAAACCTCAAAATTTTGTGTAAATATTTGCATTTATTAAGAAATAAATGGAAATAAACTAAAATAATATTTTACATTTGTATCTCTTTAACTATCAACTTTTGGACTAAGGTAAGTTCGGCTAAATCACAATATTTTTGCTTCGTGAATCTACCCATGAATTTTGACCTATTAGCTCGGGCCCACCCTGTATACAATTTTTTTGTAATTGTATAAAAAAATAAATTTAAATTAGTCATATTTATTTTGAAATTTCAGAAATTTAAACAAATTTTTTTTTATTCATAAATTTTTTTTATTAAATATAAATTTTTCTTCTACATCATGCGTAAGTATTGAAACCGCAAAATTTTATAGTTTAATTTTGTCGGACAAGCAAAAAAAAACCGATAATTTTGTCGGACAATTAAATTCTCAGATTAATATTGCATTTTTTTAAATAATGACGCTTTTGTCCGACAGCTGGTTATCACCAACCATGTTGTCGTTAAGTCGACATCTTCGGGGCGTCGGACTGCAAAAACTTCTCAAGAATTTTGTCGGACAATAAGATACTTTCATTTCAAATCTTATTACCAAACCCTCCCAGAAAAATCAGCTTGCTGGTTGTCACCAACCATAATGTCACCAAATCGACATATTTGGGGTGGCGGGCAAACTCAATATACCCAACATTTTCGCCGGACAAATATTGTGGGGGGTTTAAAAAAAAATATATCTTTCATTTAAATTTTAAAAAAAATAGTGCTGGTCATAACATTCGATGTCTATGCCAGATTGACATGTTTTCCTGAAAATCACGGGAAAACTTACCACTGTTGAATTTTCCTCGTACCCAAATCTTGGGAGACCCGTCAAACTTAAGCTGCACGCAAAGTTACAGCTTGCTGGTAATCATTTTTTTCTTTGTACGTGGGCCCGTGGATTATTAGTTTATGTTAGTTCTAGGGTGTTATAAAACCTTCTCTAACTATTTCCGTGAAAACTCATTATTCAGTTTTGAATTTCTTATAACTTCCTGTTAAATAAACTGTATTCACAAGTTTCATTATACATATATTTTCAGCGTATTATATAAATTTTAAATTCATTTTTCTCCAAAACGGTGCAATATATTACAACGGTAGAAGAGTACTTTTGTGATAAACTTCTAATTTCTGAATCGAATAGATAAAAGCTGGTGGAGCACATCCGAAAAAATTGGAGCGATATTTCTCCACGACTTCCCCCAAGATGCCCTTCACCAAAATTTAGAAATTATTTTTATTTTTATAACCATTCCATTTGCGTCACAACAGTAATAGACATTGCGTTTCATAATTTAAAATCTAGATATGCATTTTCTGATTTTTTTTCTACCACATCAAGTTTTTGCTCTGTTAATCAGCTGATAATGATACAATTTGTTTCCGTACTGATTCAATTTACAAACGATGTACAGGGTGATATTATTGTTGCCGATGGAATTAAAAAATGTTTCTCTTCATGTAAAATTAGAATGTATTTGTATTTGTCATAATTTATGATTCCATTTTATTCGTTGATTAAAGAAAGTACACGTATCTTGAGAAAAAAAAAAGACATTCAGTGTAGTAAAATATAATCGATAAAGGCTGGCCTGCGTAATTAAAGAGAAAATAACAACATTAATAAATAGAAATATCACACACTATAGTTCCTCTTAAAATATAAAATAGAAAAAATATACTCGTATCATTCCTTCCCATACTAACCTAAGGTCAGCAGTTTGTACTAATTCCTTGATTAACGGGGTGGGTCTTCCTGTGAGCCGCCAGTTGACCCGCTTGCGTGTAGCACTTCCCGCAGATCTGGCAGACGTACGGTCTCTCTCCCGTGTGCGTCCTATAGTGCGACTTCAAAGTTCGGGGATCCCCGAACGCCTTTCCACACGCTGTGCAGACTTGGTCCTTTATGCCGAGATGAGTTCTTTTGTGTGTGGCTAGATTGCTGGAGGTGTGGTATCGTTTCGGACACTCATTGCAAGCGTACGGTTTTTCCCCTGCAATAAAATACCAAATAATAATTATACCTTTTTTTACTCTACTATAAAGGTGTTAAGCTAGTTCAAATAAATTTAGAAAATTTATTCCCAAAAATTCCTCTCAAAAGGTGTTTTTTGACAAAAAAATTTTTGGGTAACCCCACAAGCAAGATTCTTAAGTATTAATATTACAGCAAACAACTACTCTATGCAAGTAATATTAGGCCATTATAGCTTTTTCGGAAAAAAAATACTATTAGAAGTTTTTTTGCAGAGTATTGTTCAGAAACGTGTTATAAACAAAATATCAAAGAATCAACTCGAGACTCGTTGGGAAACTTTCTTAAAACAATGGTCAAAGTTATGGAAAAGTGGTTTTTTGACTCGTGTAAAAAAACTGTTATTCGTAGAGAAAAAAAGTTTATACAAAAAAGGTAGATTTTAAATGAATCTGTAAAATAAGACAAGTCCGATTAAATTCCGATAATTTGTTTATGCGCAAGAGCTCAAAAATGGTCGAAAATGGCCGTTTTTTTTCAATTGCTAATAATTGACGCAAATTTCATCGCATACACTTATAATTCAGGATTTTTGAGGATTTTTACACCCTTAATAAGTAGTAAAAATTTCAGCCCGAAAGCTCCATTGGTTTGGCGTTGGCGGAATTTGTTATCTAAGAAGATGCTATTTTCAATTGATTTTTCCCAAGCTCAAAGGCGTTGTAGAGTTTCAATCGTTAGTTGTTTTTGTACCTAAATAGTTGAACTGACATATTATGCATTTACTGAGAATTTAATTTGTTCAAAAATTACATTGAAAAAATGTTAATATTTATTAAATTGTTAAGATACGTAATTATTATAAAACGAAATACTAACGTCTATAGTTTAGTCAGTACTATTTTTCTTCGAATTTAAAAAAAAATCATTGTTCTAAGTTGATTAGAAGATGAGATAATTTTTTTTTTTTTTATTTAATCGCAGTGTCCTTAATTATTAAGAGCCGAAATTTGGAGAGAGTATACATGAAGAGCTATATTTTCATGTCCTACATTAACATTAAGGTGAATTCAACTATTTAATTGCAAAAAAGAAGATAGCGGCGATGCGTTCTATTACTCCGTCTAGCGAACGAGTGGGAAGAGCGAGGCTAAATAAAAAAAATTAAATCTTGGGTTGAAATAATGTTAATACCATAGCTTCAATGCTCATGAATTTTCGCGCTACCACAAATTAAAAAAAGAATCATCTCGATAGGTTCATTATTAACTGAGACATGGCTAATTTTTCTAGCTCCATCGATTTGAAGCCGCTCGATTATTTTCCTGCGCGCAACCAGGCGCATGTTCCGTCTCACTCTCCCCACGCATTCGCTAGACCGAGTAATAGATCGCATCGCCGCTATATTCTTTTTTGCAATTAAATTGTTGAATTCACCTTAATGTTAATGTAGGGCATGAAAATATATGTCTTAACGTAGACTCTAGCCAAATTTCGGCTCTTAATATTAATAATTAAGGTCACTGCGATTAAATAAAAAAAAAATTATCTCAGTTTCTAATCAACTTACGATTTTTTTTTTAAATTCGAAGAAAAATAGTACTAACTAAAGTAGTGAGGTTACTACTTCATTTTATAATAATTACCTATCTTGACAATTTAATAAAGATTAACATTTTTTCAGTCATTTTTAAACAAATTAAATTTGAAAAATTAAATTCTCAGTAAATGCATATATAACTATTTAGGTACAAAAACAACTAATGATCGAAACTCTACAACGCCTTTGAGCTTGGGAAAAATGAATTGAAAATAGCATTTTCTTAGATAACAAATTCCACCAACGCTAAACCAATGAAGTTTTCGGGCTGAAATTTTTACCACTTATTAAGGGTGCAAAAAGCCTCAAAAATCCTGAATTACACGTGTCTGCCATGAAAATTGTATTAATTATTAGCAATTGAAAAAAACGGCAATTTTCGACCATTTTTAAGCTCTTGCGCATAAACAAATTCTCGGAATTTAATCGGACTTGTCTCATTTTATAGGCTTATTTAATACCTACCTTTTTTGTAAAAACATTTTTTCTCTATGAATAACATTTTTTTTACACGAGTCAAAAAACCACTTTTCCATAACTTTGACCATTGTTTAAACAAAGTTTTCCAACTAGCCTCGAGTTGATTTTTTGATATTTTTTCTATAACACGTTTCCGAACAATATTCCGCAGAGAAACTTCTAATAGTATTTTTTTCCCGAAACAGACTGTTTCATGTCTATAATGACTGGACTATATCTAGTAAACAGATAGTAATTAATAATCATCTGAAATATCAAATAGAAAATGATATATTTAATATAAAAACATATAACTGACTCTCGTATCTCTGTTGTTCTCACATCATCCTGGACAAAGATCGACACTTAAAGAACAATAAAGTTTTGAACAAACTAAAGGGCAACACAGAAGCAACTTAGAGCATTGCTTGTTTGTGTTATATGCCCAAAATATACCAAAGATATGCGCACCAAAGAACTCTATGCGAGTTCATTTGATACCATTTTTTTTGGGAATTTGAATTGAATTTATTTGAATTAGCATAATAATCGAGTAAAAATGAGAGAGCTTATAATAAAATATACACAAACAAAAATATTATATTGATTGTAACAATGTCAAATTGGAGGATATATTGTCTTATAGCGTAGGCATCCATGATTTTGGAGAATTCCGTGTGTAAAGGCGTAACAAGGGAGGCAAAGTTTTTCATGAAATTTGTATATCTTACAAGTTAAAGATGGCAGTGTGGTGAAAATTTGTATTTCTTTGAAAACAAACACATTTCACATTTTAACATTTAACGTTGACTATTTTGACTATTTTGTATAAAAAAAATTCTAAATCTGAACTATACTTTATGACTCATGAAAATAAAAATTATTGTATTCCCTGCACACCTTGAAATATGAGTATGAATTTTCAATACATATCTTGAACAGTACAAATATTTTGATCTAAAATACAACGATCTACATATTTTTGAATTAGTTTTTGATATAAATAGCACAAATTGACATATCGTCTTTTTTTACACATAACTGCAGGTTACCATTTTTGTTAGGTACAACCGTATGTGAGAATATGAATTAATAAACTATAAAAGCCTGCGATAATATAACGAGCGTTCAAATAAAAACGTGGTCCAAGTTGGCTCCGACACATTGGACGTAGGGAGTAGCTTACAGCGACCAACTTAACCTCATTCTCAACGAGCTGTATAGCAGCTGTCAGTTTCAATAACGTTAATGACTATATAACTTTATTTTAAAGAATAATCGTGATAACAATAACAAACAATTAAAGGAGCTGCGGAAAGTGTCCCCCTCCTTGTTCCAAGCACTTTTCACACCTGTTCCTCAAAGAATTAAAGACATTTTCTAAGCTGCTTGGGGGATTGTTAATTTCACGAATCTTGTCTATAAGTCGAGCCTGCAGATGGTTTAAATCAGGAATAGGCAGTTCAAAAATAGTGTTTTTAAGGTAAGGCCACAAAAAGATATCACACGGCGTAATATCACATGACCTCGGTGGAAATTCATGTTCAGCATTGAGACTTATTAGTCGATTTTGGAAAACTTCCCTCAACATATTCATCGTCTCGCCTGCCGTATGTGCCCTTGCGCCATCTTGTTGAAAGTAAAAGTTTGTAATTTCGTTTTCTTCCAGCTGGTTAACAAAAGGAACGATAATTTCTTCTCTATACCTTTGCGCAGTAAGAGTACCATTAAAAAAAATAGGTCCATAAATCCTCCTTCGATTGAGAGCACACCAAACTCCAATTTTTTGAGCGTGTAGAGGGCCCTCGACAAAAAAGTTATCTGGTTTTTCAGAAGACCACATTCTCATATTCTGTGAGTTTACGTAACCACTTAAATGAAACCAGACTTCATCAGAAAAAAAGGTGATATTATGAAGTTCACCGTAGTTGTTTAAAAACCATTCACAAAATACAGCCCGTCGCGGAAAATCAACATCATGAAGTTCTTGCTGACAAGTTAAACGATAGGAGAACAAACGCAAATCTTTTTTTAACACTGTGTGGCAGGTACCGACTGATACTCCCATCATTTGTGATAAAACACGTACAGAAGTTCTTGGCGCAATTTCCATTATTTGTTGGACATTTTCTTTTAATTCTTCAGTGCGCTTTTTAGGTCGGCCGCTTCCTTCTTTTCTTGTTACACTGCCCGTTTCACGAAAAACATTAACACAACGCTGAACTGCACTTTGAAAAATTTTGTACCCAACAACGCCGGGAAATTGATTTTGAAATTCTATGAAACATTCCTCAATAGAATACTTCCATATTCCATCAATCTTGCGTCCATTTCTAAAGTAGGACTCTATGATAAACACTTTTTGTTCTTGAGAAAACACCATTTTAAACGCTTTTTAAAACGGAAATATTCAAATTGATAGCGGCGATATAGCGCTTTGAACGCTACGCCCTACGTCCAAATTTTCAGAACCAACTTGACCACGTTTTTATTTGAACGCTCGTTATTTGCATTAATTTTAATCTAGACATGTCCTGTGTGTGTATTTTGAACAAACAATTACAATGTTTCTGATTATTAAATCCATAATTGATAATGATATCAGGACTCGATTATTCTTTTGAGTTTAATTCCTTTAATATGCATATCGAACACAAATACAATACAATATGTTCGCATGATAATTATCCTTAAGGTTAATAATATTAAAAATATATAAGTACATTCTGAATATTAAAGATTAATACTAACCACACAAATCATCTAAAACATTTATAAAAAACAAATCTGATAATCAAATGATATTAAAAATAAATTAATTACCTGTGTGAGATCTCATATGGATCTGTAGATCTGCCGCTCTTCCCGCCCTTTTGCCGCAGACGGCACATTGGAACTTTTTCTCTCCCGTATGTGTCCTGGTATGTGCTGCCAAGCCACATTTACTAACAAATGACTGTAAATATTAAAAAAGTAAAAATAACATAAAATTGTAATTAATCGTCACCTCTAACACTGATATTAAAAAAAAGTTGTAAATACCAACAAATAATATCGTAAAATATTTACCTTGGGGCAAGAATCACATTTGTACGGTTTCTCCTGAGTGTGAGTGCGGGTGTGGATAGTTAAGTACGACGAAGTGCCAAAAGAAGCTTCACAGAAGCTGCACTTGTAAGGCTTCTCCCCCGTATGTGTCCTTTTATGCGCCTTAAGGACGAAAGAATGACCAAACCTTTTGCCTATTAAAAAAAAATCAAAAATGTTCATAACTACCTACGTTGTATTGTATGAAGTGAAAAAGTACATGATACAAACTCGTTCAATGATTGAAACAGATTGGAATGTTTATAATTCGTAATAGATAATATATGTTGTTTTTTTTTGTAAGTCGTTAAAATTAAAGACACTCTTTCTTACCGCAAGTATTACACTGGTATCGCCTCTCTCCAGTGTGGACCTTGTTGTGCACCATTAAGCCGTGAGGATCGGAAAATCTCTTTCCACAAATACTGCAAACAATAGGTTTCTCCCCAGTATGGATACGCATATGGATCTAAAGAAAATTGAAACATTCAAGAAATGTGAATAACTTAAGTGATTTCCTATGTTCCAAAACATGAAATGTTGGACCCAGAGAGACTTCACTGCGGTTATTTTATTTTAATGTCCGAGTGAAACAACTTCTGTCAAAAAGTCAAGAATTTTTTCTTAAGTGAACAAATTATCCTCGAGCGCACGTTAATGAACTTAATAGAAACTATTTAAGGTTACTTTTAAATATGTGAGTAAACAACAATAATTTCTTATAACTTTCTAACTTCTTTCATAATTATCTGGTGAAATAGCAAAAAATTATACTATATACATACTGTGAGATGGTTGGGTTCAAAAAAGCGTTTCCCACAGATTGTACACAGGTGTTTCTTCTCCCCCCCATGGATCCTCATATGTTTGACCAGACTGGTAGGCAAAGAAAAGGTTTTACTGCACACATCGCATTTGTAAGGGCGATAATCCCTATGTGTTTTCAAATGATCTCTAAAGCACCGCATCACTGAAAAAATATCACTGAATTAAGCATACTACGTAATAAAATGTTTGTGAATACATTTTACACGCACATTTACAACATTTACTTACAGTTAAATTCTTTCCCACATACTTCACATTTAAGTTTCTTTCCATGTTTAATTAAATGTGATTTCAAACTAGTTTCATGCTTAAACTTTTTCCCACATTGGCTGCAAGGGAATTGCAGTGACCCACTTGGTATCTTTGCACTTTGGCTAACAATTGGTTCACTTATTTCTTTTGGTACAGAAATGCAAACATTATTATCGTTCGACTCAATACCATCAAAAGTACTACTAGTCATACTATCTTTAATAATATAATCGGGCTCTTTACGTTCATTATCTGTACTTAAGTAAATTATTTCCGATTTATTTTCGTTATCCACCTTATTAGTTATCTGTATGGCCATCGGTAATTCCACTTCCTAAAAAATATCTGTCATCTATCTTCAGGTTTTATTATTTTTTTCCAACTAAAGATTACTTACACTAACCACTTCATTGTCATTTAAAAGGGGTAAATCTGAATCGACTTCCTCATAGTTTTGTATATGTAACTCATCCGAATCATTTCCTAATATTGTAATAGATCTGTATATAATAGCCTGTCCAGAAAATAAAGCATTTCGTAACTGAGAATCAGACTTTTGACACTGAATCTTAAAATTAAAAGCTATGTTTAATGTGCAGTAACAATCGTTGCATATATGTGTTGGTAAACCATCATTCAGTTCAACCTAAAATTCGCAGGTTGCACTTTTAGAATTTTAAATTAAGAATTAAAATTTACCTTTATACATGATACATCCATAATTTGAGTATCTACTGCATTTTCAAATAAAGGACGTAATTCCTCAACATGTCTTTCAGTTAAACATGTTCTGCAAAGTCTGTCCAGGCTGGATATTATTGTAATATTTTCCGTCATGTTTAATATTCAACTTAGGACTAACCACGAGTAACAAGATTTCCAAATATATTTCAATCTAATAATAACAAAAAAAAGTATTACTTCTAGATCAAAAACAGGCACAAAACAGAAAGTTGAGAGGTAACAGCAGAGCAGTCACTGGTCAATCAGAAAGAAATAAAAAGATAAGAAGAAGAAGAATATTCTTCTTCTTCTTATAAGTTGATTAATTAATTAAGAAGTTGCAAGAGGTAGAGCAGTTTTTCATTGTTTTTGATATAATAGATATATAATATAGAAATTGATTTATTTTTCTTTTATGATAAATGTTCATTAGAAATTAGTTATCAAAGGCGTGCCATGAGAAATAACCACTTAGGCATTTTTAAGAAAATACCTACATTGGCATTTTAAAATTTTATATGATCCGCCTTTGATACTGGATGGATATATTCATTTAGGAATTTTCTTTTCATCAACACATTCATGGTTACATTACTGTTATATACCTACCCTACCGCCTATCACTGATAATGAATGGAACTGAATGGGCTATATTTCAAGGGCAGCTTCATTAAGGGCCCCATATTCTTTAGTGTTTTCCGCAAAGACAAATAATTTCAAACATTTAATAACTGAATAATCTAAAGCTTATCAAATAATAGGAATGTTATGTCATGCCACCTGAGTATTTTCAAAAACGCCGCAGTAAAACGAATAAACAGGTGCAAAAAACGATCAAACCATCAAGGTTTTAGGTACTGAAATCTACGAAAATACTAACTTTTTTATATACAACTCCACATTTATAATATTCTTATAACATTTACTTGCTTAGTAGGTACTACATATAAAATTGTTTACTTTTATTTGTAGGTACGTGAAAATAAGTCTTAAAATGTGGTGTTAGGAAAACAGAAAACGCATGTTCTATAAACGCTTTTTTTTTAGTTATTATATTGTTTGGGTACATTTAAATGGTAACAATGAATAAACACAACATCAAGAATTTTATTTTTGTGCTTACTTTTGTTCTGCACGTTTTACTTTTCAAGATTTCAATACCTAAAAATGCCAAAAATTCACCATTTCTCGGCCAGGGATATGGCCACCTTAAGTGGAAATAAACTAATTTAGATCAGGTTACCTTGATCCTTGACATGTCAACTTATTATGATTGAATTAAAAAATGTATCTCTGGATTGGTAGGTATATTTTTTAGCGTACATCTAACAAATATACGTTTTTTAAACAAGTAGATAACGTTGCGTTCTTAAAAATGATGTTTTCTCGAAATCTCTGCCAATAAAAAAAACGTCGCAGAACAAAAGTCTGTTAGAGACCTCTATGTTTTGATTAAAAATTTTGTTTTCCAGAATACCTATTCATATATATATGAAGCTGGGAATTAAATATATCAATTATATTAAATACACTTTATTAACAAAAACACATTAATAAAAACTACATCACGAAACTTTGACAAACAAGACACACTTATATAGATTATGAGACAAGTATTTATAAAATTAGATAAATACAAAAATATGACTAGATGCTTATCAAAATAGTTTTTAATCGCTACTGCTATGTGAACAAACAAAAAAAATGATATGAAGATTATGATTCTATATGAATTAATTTTTTTGTATAAGTATTAAAAAATATGTAAGTTTTTACTGTAAATACCTATGTAGATATCATAACATGAAATTTTTTTGTGGTACCGTACATTAAAATGATTATTTTTTTGTACTTAAAAAATTAACTAGGTAGCAAGCTCTTTCAGTACGAAATTTCAGTTATTTTCAATAAATTATTGGTCTTTGGTATTAAATATTACTTAATTATATTGTACCTACTAATTATACAAAAAATTGAATTAAGTATCTACGAGTACCTAGCACCGATGAAATAACCATTCCTCTATATTGTCTTTTGATTTTGGAGCAATCGTATACAGACTTTTATATCTACATCATTTTAAAAAGTAAAATAATATTTTTGTTTTTTAATGACAGTTTTATAATATAGCTGTAGGTAATTATATTTTCTTTTGGTGGAAAAATATACACTTTTGTAAGTATTAACATTAAGTAAAGTAGGTATAGAATTATATTTTATTCAGTCTCCAATAATAACTAATAATAATATCTAACAGCAACAGCAATAATAAAAAATTAAGTATATGTATTTCAGACTACAGTTTCGTTTATCCCTATTAATATTGTTCAAACTCACGATGCGTACGAAAAGTTATTACCTATATATAAATATCTTTTGGTGTTACAATTTATCTTTATTATTTTTTAAGAGGTATTTCAGATGAATAATATATTATTTACATTTTTAACTTATAAGCATGTATCATCTTATCTTCCTGAAAGTTGTAAAAGATAACTTATCGATGTAAGTTGAAAAAATTAATACCAGAGATTACTTTTTTAATTTAATTTAATTTAATTTAATAAGATATTTGAAGAACCTTTCCTTTGGGGAATAATAGGTACCTATATTTTGTTCCAACTAAAAGTGATCACTGAATTAATTATTTTAATGATTTACATAATATTAATCTACACTTTTGTAATAAAAAAACATTTTCTGATATCTACATCGTTATGGGAACATATTATTTATCTTAACTAATTGAGAACATTGTCGAATTTAGGAACAATTTTATAGGTACTTATATAAAATATATTAAGCTAACAATAAGACCAACATTGAACAAATCGGCTGTGATGCTTTATACTATTTGTCGAGAAATCTAGGTATCAGATCCCTTACATTTGCTATCTTCAGATAAACGGTAATTTTACTGTTTCCTAATTAGCTTCCTTCTCATATTATATTATTATTATAAATACTGTCAGTAAATTGGTCTAAATTTTTTACATCTCCATTAAAAGTACCTACTTAATAACACAGACAAGTGGAAGTGTAACTCTTCAGACGAATATCTCTCCATTTGGAAGTTTCTGCCCACATATTCCATGCGCGATGTGCAGAGGCGCTCTGATGTAGGCATTTTTGGCCAAATTACTCTGGTTTGCGCTCGTGGAACATTCACACTCGGAAGGAATTTCCTTGACTTCCTTGAGGCTAGTGGAATATCTAGAATGACTCCTGCTACCTTTGAGATTTGAATCGGACGTTTGTTGGGAAGTGGTATGCGCCGAGGAACTGGTGGTACTCTTTCTGGTCATTTCTGGCTTCCTTCTATATCTCTTCCTTATACTCTTCAGTCCGCAGAGCTTGAAGAACCCTCCCCTGAATTTCGAACTCATGACGTTGTACAGGATGGGATTTACCGCCGAATTTATGTGGAACATAATTCTGGAGAAGTAGAGTATGTTGTAGTAGTTCTCGAAACCTATTTCGTAGCTGGACCCGGCCGGTGCTACAATTATCCACAAGGTTAGGGCCCGGAAAGGCAGAAGGCAGATGAAGAATGCAGCGACCACGGTGCCGAGCATCAGAATTACCTGCTTCCTGTATTTGGCCACGCTTTGAGAAGGTAGGGCGTTAGATCTTGTCGAGACTGCCATGGTGGGGTGGGCCATCAGGGATTTTGCTATGAGAGCATATATACAAATTAAAATAGCTAGAGGGAATATGAAAAATACTACGATGGAACCTATGAAGAACGCGCAAGGGAGGAGGTCTTCCACTAGAGTGAAGCAGACGAATACTATGGAGCCGTCCACGTATTCTTCGGGACCATGTTGGGTGATGGCCAGGATTGGGCTGAAAACAGTTAATATCCGTGTTAGTTTCGAGGTTACAACCATGTCGTAATTATCACCATTATTGATTTTACGTATATCTACAGGAGGTGATACAAAACGTTAAAACACCTATTACAAAGAGATTTTAGTGACCGATTCTAATTTATTTTGAATGAGGCAAGTACGAGAGAGAATTATCTATACTTATTTCTTCTTTTAAAATTCAGTAGTGCAGTTTAAGTTGTTAAAGAGTTGCTCGCATAATCCGATTGTTGTGTAGGTATGCGTAATTATACTAAGCGTATGTAATTTATAAGTTAGTCTTTCCGATATCAATTGAAGAACCAAGAGGTTGACAGTATGTACCAGGTTCGGCCGCTGACACAGCAACTCGGCATTGAAATATTTGAAAAACTTGTTCCCATATTTATTTAACCATACCCATATACAGGTCTGGTAGAATTAAACGTGCAGGTGGTAAAAGTGTATACGCCCAGTTGAAGAATGCGAGCGCGGGCAAAGGAAAACAAACACAGCTGCATTGGGCTACTGGGTGATAAATCTCAGCTGTTGACAAGTGGTTGCCAAATTGCCCAGCAGTGCAGTGCAGCAATGCGGAATTTGGTGATTCAGGTAATTTTAATTTACTATAGACACCTTCTATTAATCATTCATATTACAATTGCGAAAGGGAGAAATAAGAGGGATATTTTGTTTACTAATATTATTACAACATCGCATTTTGGAGACCTTTTGAAATGGAACAAATCGAAATTTACCATCAATAATAAAATTATTTGAGGGCATAAATAATTAAAATATGTTATTGGTCAAATGAATATATAATAGAAATTTTCTACACATTATATACAAATTATTATAATTTTTTACCTTAAGCAGAAAACTTTTTTAGGGGTGCCTATGAAAGTCATTAAATTTTATTGCCAGGCGTTTTTTTACATGTTCAACTGACTTCGGAAAGACTATATATGTTTAGGCTAAATATAGATGTTTAACGAAAAGTTCAGATTAATTTATAATAAATTTTAAGTTTAACGACATGTTCCAATTAGAAGTTTACAATTAATTTAAGCAGTTAATGGCAAAGCGACTTTCGCACAATAGCATTGTGCCGTTAAAAGTTTATGTTCTTATTAGGGTTATACTTTGTTAAAGCAATTTAGATAACATTTGATAGAACACTGTAATTTAAAAGGTTTATATAACAAAACACTAATTGGTGATAACTACGACTCCAAATATCTTTCAAGTTGCAGCTACAAAAATTGTTTTGTACAAAAATGCTATGAGAGATGGGAGTAGATGAACTGACAAACAATTCTAGATAAATACTTTTTATAACTAGGTATATGAAACTAATGAAAATAGAAAAATATACTTACTTTATGTAATTTGTTGAAGGGTAGAAATATATTGCGGTTATTATTGTTTATTTACTTGGTGTAGAATCTTATATGTATTTTGATTTTGAATTACCTAACAAAGAAACAACTAAGACATTCAATAATTTTATTAACGGCTAACACTAAATCTTTGGTAAACATCAATTTACAGTACAAATATTACCACTTTAATGATACAATAAATGCAGCTCATATGGTTATGGTTGATTCGTTGAGAGACGAACAAGTTGGTATAACTTTAAGTCGCTTCCGATCTCTGTGCATGTTTTTATAAAAGCGCAAGGGAAGCTTTGATAAGGTGAAAGGTTATAAAAGAAGATACATATATTCTTTTTATTATTTAGAAACGTTACTGTACCAAGAACCTTCTTTTCTGCAGTTGAAATGGAAATCCTTTGCCTAATACCGTAATACAACAACTGATGGGAGTGGAAAACATAGTTTTTGTTTTTGTTTTATTTCTGTGAAACTATCTATAACAGGGTTCATAGTTCAAAAGTAATGAAGAATTCCCTGACTTTTCCAGGTTTTCCCTGACTTATAAAAATAAAATCCAGGTCATTTGTAGTTCATTTTTACATACTAATTGGTGTTTATGCATTAAATTTTTTCTCGACTGGATTCCATAATCTTTTTTATACCCTAAGAACCTCTTATAAAGGTTTCAAAACCACAAATAGTTTTCTCTTTCAAGAACACAGGGCCGGCTTTCACAAAATTTCCAGTTACAAACATTAAATTCCCTGACTTTCATGAATATTTTTAAAATTCCCTGACTATTCCCTGTTTTTTATGAAGAATAACGAATTCCCTGACTTTTCCCGGTATTCCCGGTTTTCCCGGCCGCTACGAACCCTGTATAATGTCCTAATGACACGTTTATGATATGTTAAAATAAAGTAAATGAAACCATAAATATTTTAGATCGTGTATCGATTTGTTATACCATCTTGTTTAGATCTAAATCTAATTACAAAAAACTTTCTTCGTCGTTTTTGCGATTCTGCTTCAAAAATTTCTCGTGCAGTATAATACGTTCTTCGTTTTCGTTAAAACACTTGCTGTCGAGGAACTTCTGCAGATTACTTCTCTGTCCTTGATCAACCACCTTTTCGGTAAAAACATTAAACTCAGCCTTGCAATGACTACTCCTGCGCTCGGAATCGTCAAACTCCTCGTCTTTACTGCTAGTTTTCAGTGACCTTAAGTGTCTAGGGCCTGGGCTGTCCCTGAGGATGTTCGAGTGTGAGTCACTACTTCTGTTGGAGTCGGGAGAGTCACTGCAGTTTTTTATTAAGATGGAGTTGTTTCTGGGCCTGTAGCACACTTTATAATTGTGACCGTCGTGACTGCTTCTAAAAGTACTGCTGCTCCGGGTGGTCGTCGTGGTGCTGAAAGTGCCGTTTCTAGACCGTTTGAAATACAGCTTCCGTCTTGCTTCCGAACAAATAATGAATCCGGATCGGAACTTGGAGCTCATCAAGTTGTACAGGATAGGATTGATGGCCGAGTTCAAGTACACCATTATCCTACAGAAGTAGAGGATATTATAATACTTTTCTACTCCTAATCGGTAAACGTTTTCCTCCGGTACTATTATAATCCAAAGTGTGAACACCCGAAAAGGTATTAGACACAAGAAAAAGCTTAAAACCACGGTGCCCAACATAAGGATGACTTGCCTTCTGGCTCTAATGGAGTAGTTGTCAATGTGTTTGTTCAGTACCATCGTGGCAGCATTGGATATTAGGTTTTTGGCGATGATGCAGTACAGTACCAGGAGGATGATCAGAGGAACTATGAAGAAGAGGAAAATACTGCTGAGGAAGTACAGGGCGGACCAAAAAGTGTTGGCTAGTGTGTGGCAGGCTGGTACCTTGGAGCCGTCGAAGTACTCGACGTGTTTGAATTCGGCTATGCCTAGCATCGGGCTGGAAATAACGGCAGTTTCAATTTTCTCGATTTAAGGCAAGAAGCGGCAAGCTTTCTCAGATGCGCGCACCAGTGCAATACCAAAAACCAACCCTTTTACCACGCCAGAAGTTGTCTGTATACNATTTCAAGGGACGCCGAATCCAGTGGCGTACGCAGATTTTTTCTAAAAAAATCGCTAATATGGGTTCTGGATTTTTCAGCCTCTGAATATGACCTAGTAGGCCTTGGTTTTAAAAAAAACTGGACGCCGCTTGGCCCCAAAATACACCTTTTCTCTCTCTACATTTGAAAAAAAATTTCGTCAAAATCGCTTAATAAATAAAAATGTTATGAGGGTGGCCCGCTTTCAAATGGGTCACTCTGTAGGTAAACTATTGCCGAAAATAAATGGATAATAAGAGCCTTAAAGAGTATAATATAAATCGGACCGTTTTTGAGATTTTCCGATATACAAGTTTACATAAAATGTCATTAAAAAATCTCGGAGGATTTCCGAGATATTTATTTCAAAAAGCTTGATATTTGCCATCCTTTTTTAAAGGAGTACCTATATCTGTTTAATTTTTTTCATGAAAAGGTAACATTATTTTTCATGTAGGTACCTACTATTCATCCTGAGAATATCAGGAGACAATTTAAGACCACCCTGTATGTTTTTTATATAAGTATATGAGACAAAACTTTTTCTTAAAAATATAAAATTGAAAATGCTGTGCTGTTTGCCCTTACGAATATTAGAAATTTCAATGCTCTCAAAGAAAAATATTAAGAAAACATTATTATACCTATTAATTACTTATAATTTAGGAAAAACGTATTATGAAATACAAATGATATCAGTAACGGCAACTCTACAAATAGTATTTCCTCTTGTATACAGTTTTTGTGACCAGTACTCCAAGGTTTTGTTACACAAATGTGTGATGGTGTTATTCTGTAACAAAGGTTATACAACACAGACACAAAGACAGCGACATTGAGGATACACAAGACAAGACAGAGGTGCACGTAAGGTTTAACAGAGGATAGGAGTTTGAAGAATAGCAGTGTAGAAATAACACATTTAGTAGTTTATATGCTATATTTTCCGTTATATAGAAAAACATGTAAGTACTCATTTATATTCGTTTAGTATGATTTACTTTATTACTTTCCTGCAAAAAACTTGTTTGAGTAAGATTTGTTTTTACTTACTATTGTATGATTAGTATCAAAAATGAAAGAGCTCTTCTAGCCTAGATAAGACAAAATGTATACTATTCCATCTCCAGGAACTGCGCAATTGTTGAAAAATCTGTATAGTGTCCGATATTTTACTATGTACCTATCGGAGGCGCTCGTATTTACTTTATTATCTGTGGATACACTATAGAGTTGGAAAAATGGAAATTTCTCATTCGCGCGAAGGTTATCTATTCTTTCCAATTTCTTCTTGTTTTCTTGAACATTTGGAATGCAAAGAACAATTTGTTTTAAGCGGGGAGTTTTTTATTGCTAAAACATCAGTAACGCAATATAATTTTTTTTTTTAAATAATAATTGAGTAATATTAAAAATTTAAACAGACAAGTAGTACATACTATTATTTTCCCCCAAGAAACCTATGGTTAAGGCTTAAAGTACTTTTTTGTAATACCCCGTGTGAATAGGTAAGTAAGTACCTACAAAGAATATGAAATTGTAAAATATGCCGGATGAGACAATAATGCGACACAGAATATAAACCTTCCCATTCTGTCTTCGCTGCAACAGTCACAAAATGTATAATACGGACATAATAACACAATCTAATATTACTTAATAGGTATGTACCTACTTACTTAAGGGCCCCATATTCTTTAAATAGTGTTTTCCGCAAAGACAAATAATTTCAAACATTTAATAACTGAATAATCTAAAGCTTATCAAATAATAGGAATGTTATGTCATGCCATCTGGGTATTTTCAAAGAAATAAACAGGTGCAAAAAACGATCAAACCATCAAGGTTTTAGGTACTGAAATCTACGAAAATACTAACTTTTTTAAACATAACTCCACATGTAAATATTCTTATAACATTTACTTGCTTAGTCCTACATATAAAATTGTTTACTTTTATTTATAAGTACGTGAAAATAATTCTTAAAATGTGGGGTTAGGATAACAGCAAACGCATGTTTTACAAACGCTTTTTTTTAGTTATTATTTTATTTGGGTAAATTTAAATGGTAACAATGAATAAACAAAACATCAAGGATTTTATTTTTGTGCTTACTTTTGTTCTACACGTTTTACTTTTAAAGATTTCAGTACCTAAAAACGCCAGAAATTTCACCATTTCTCGGCCAGGAATATGGCCACCTTAAGCTGATATGAATTTGTAACTTAAATATTTATAAGTGGATGACCAATACATTTATACATGTATGTATAATAGGCGTAAGTAACAACAGCGCTATTTTCAGTTCATTTAACTTTTACGATTTGTCATTGTGGCTCGACAAAACAGTTCTATGTGACACGACTTCGAGAAACTTTTGTTTTTAGCCACTTTGGTTAGGGTTCGGTGGAATAACGGAGCCAGTTAACTACCCGCCTTACACAGATTAGGCTTGTTAACTAAATAGAACATTTGATAAGTATTATCTTTTCTAGACATTTCTTCCTTTCTAGGTTACATAAAAAAAATGTATGGTATAAGTTTTTCGTGAATAAACGAGAACGGGACTGAGAGGAAACGCTGATGATATATCAATATATCGAAACAGAAAAAAAAACATTTTATTTTGGATTCAGTTGGCATTATTTTTTCTTGTATTAAATCTAAAACGTCCCTCATAAATCAACTATCAAAAGTTCATTTCACGAAGTTATATTGAACAAAGCGTTGGGTTGTCACGTAAATATTGACATATCAAGTGAAGCGTATAATGTAAATATCACGAATAAGATTGTAGTTTTCCAGTTTAATAGCATAACGGACTTTTGGAAATATTGCTATCTCAATTTAGAAATTGTTTAATTACAGTCCGTGTGTTCCAAAAGCAGCTTCTTGGTTTAATGCCGTTTTGTGAAAATTTTAAAATTAATTTTAGGTATTAATTTAGTTATCTATTGTCAGATGTTGTAGCGAACATAATGATTTTTTACATTACTTTATTAAACTAATTCAGATTAATTTTAAAAATTGTTCTAAATATCTTATCAAATGAAGTCATAATTATAATCTGTGATTTCAAATATCTAGGTGTGCTAACTTCATAGACAAGTTAATACTTGGTATCTATAGTATTACTATACGAAGCTAATTTTTTTAGTATATTTATGACTTCATTTGATGAGATTTTTAGAAATAATTTTAGAATGAATTTGTATTGGCTTAATACATTTAACGTAAAATAAAAAGCAAAAGAACCGTTAAAAAAAGATTGTATATACATAGTTTTAAACGTATCAAATTTCAAGGAGAATCACATTAATAAATTGATTTGCTTTCTTTTTAAATAGCTTCCAGTTTCAGTTGTAAAAATATTTTTAATGTGCGCATATCTATATACTTAGATTTACTTAACGTACGTTTTTTACCTAAATACTACTTAAAAATATTGTCGCCTTCTGGGAAAAACATCGACTAAATAAAATGTATATGACATTTTATCATCACTTCTATCATCCTTTGATTATTTTTTCTTTTGCACCGTCCAACTTCCCGAAAACTTTTCGTCGCTAAGCTTCAGTCGAACCGCGATTTCTATCACTATATCTTATCCGATTTATCAACATCTTACAACCATGAACACAAATTTCGCAATAACAAAGAATAAGTAGTTTCCTTTACAACATTTAATTTAATATACGTATCTTAATACATTTCTTATTAATTCAACAGAAGATTTGAAAAAGCTTTGTACGAGTCATTCTTCTAGCAACAAAAATAAAATCGATGAGTGCCAACGCGTAGACAAGAAGAAAACTAATACGTGGTAAGCGATCCGTGGCATCCGCCAACAAATACCTTTCAGTTGAACTTTCATCCAACAGCTTTTAAACAGAAGTCCGTTCCCACAGAAATGTTTGCAAGGCTCTCCTGTCACGTCTCACAACTCACAACGCTAGTTCGATGGGCTAAGGGTCTAAATTGAAGTCTAGACAAAGAGTACCGCGAAGGAAGTTTCTATTGAATTATTTCAATGACGCGGACCATTTAAATTTAACAGCAGAGGAAGGGGGAGCCGCAATGCTTCTATTTTCCGAGTCGGTTGACAGAGGTTCTTGAGCATAGCATAGTGAAGCAAGTGTGGAAAAAATAAAATGGAAAATAAATACTTCAGTTACTTAATGTTCATCTACAACTTATTTTGATGGAAATCTTAAAATCACATAATATCTAGAACATGGTAATGAAAATGCTATTTAGTTCAAAGTTCAAAGGTATGGATTTTTGTCTAATCTATTTTGACCGATAAATGTGTTAGAAACAGAGATACATCTGACAGTTTTCAGAAAAAAGTTGTAAGTAATAAGCCACGACATACCTATGCCGGAAATTGTAAATACAAATTTATTATTGATAGTAGGGTATGTGGTGTGTACCATTTTAAATGCAATTTTGTTGCCGATGAAATAAATTCTTCTAAGTCACCCGAACATCAGATCCATCTTAATAATTTTTCCGAACCATTTGCAACAGAGTGAACAACTGTTTTAAATGTACTAAAAATATAAAACAACTGAAATCTAGCTAGAGACATACCACTTAAAACAGAAATGACAACGCCTAACTAATCGACCTATCCGTTTCCGTATATCACCGTATAACGCGTTTCCTTTTAAGGCAGTCGGCGATACAAGCTGTAAGAAAATAACAGAAATAATAATTTGACTTCAATTTAACGAATAGCTTTTACTGTTAGGTAATTAGTCAATACCTAATTCGCTGCTAGAACATTTTCACGGTTTACCTTTGATTGACGTCGTTTTTTTTTCCACTAAACACATAATTTATTTTTAATGAG